CCCCAAACCCCCATAAATCTCATAAAAAATACTTCAAGAAAGAAAGAAAAATGTCATATACGGTATATATTAGCCACTTGTAATAATTTTGCTTATCGAACGATTTTAATACCTGGTTCACCTCACGTTATTTTATAATCCTATTTCTTATAGAACTCCTTTTTGTTGGAATAAAAATTCTTCTAGTATTTGATTCGGTGGAGGTCGGGTGGGGTCGACCCTCTCTTAATTGGGTCATATTTAATAGATTGAAAATAAAAAATAAAATATATATAGAGTAAAAGAATATTAAAAGTTGGTTTTTTTTTTTTTTTGGTAATTGTGACTTTTGTGTAGGTAGGTAAAATCTTGTGATTTTTGTATTAGATTATGATGAGAAAAATATATGATTATTTGTGCCATTTACATGTAAAATCATAAAAGTCAACTTAACACCTTTGCCTACCAAATCAAATAAGTACTATAAAAGATCGTCAAATCAAATGGAAACTCGCTCATATATATATATATATATATATATGAAATATTTGCGAGTTTGCCCCGCAACAGCACCGCACCGCACCGTTTGACATCCCTACAGAAGGTTTGACATCCCTACAGAGAAGTACAGAATTTGTCTACAATTATCAAACACTTCAAAAATCTTAGCTCCAAAATCTCTTACTTCAAATAAAGGTTAGCAAATTAAACTTTCGCTCTTTCTGTTTAAATGCAGTCGGTTTAAACTAAATATGTTCCACGCGTCTTTATTAGCTGCTAAATGTGAAGTTAGTACTTTACCTGCTGCTTCTGCGAAAGCAAAAATTTTAGTTGGTCATTTTTTCATCTTCGAAACAGGCGAGTATATGAAGCATATTATTTTAATAAAATCTCTATTGTCGTAAAACATTTACTTATGTAATTCATAATTGCGTCTATATTAGGATCCACATCAGGTACATCTAATGACCGATGTGGTGTTGGTTCAGAGAACATAGCAAATAGAGGTTTGTATCACTCTCAAGTTAGAATAGTATTCGTTATCTTCCTTTGGAGTGAAAATTGACTCCTAATTATTTCCGTAATATTCAGGAGTTAGACTACGTAGAAGAGCACCTCTGTACGTTATTGGTTCACAAACCGAATATGTTGCTCTCAAAGTTGTCCCAAACTGTAAATTTTGTGCTGCAAGAAGATTTCAATATCAACCCCCTGGATTCTGTTGCAATAAAGGTCCAATCAAGCTTACTTCACATGAAATGCCTATAGAGCTACGAGAATTATTTTTGGGTACTACTGAAGAGTCTGACCGTTTTCGAACATATGTTAGGACATACAATAACATGTTTGCATTTACTTTGCTCGGGGTAAAATATGACAAAGACTTAGCTAAGAGAAATCATGGTATCTATATATATAATGCAATAATGTACAACAGCTACAGTAGAAAAATTATGAAATACTAAGAATGCCTCATGACAGGCAGGCATGTTGACGGGGTCCTGCC